ACAAGAAAAAGAAAAGACTAAAACAAATAATTATTTATTTGAAGAACACCTTAGCGAAATACAACAAGCAGTCGAAAACTAAGCAATATTATCTATTTGAAGAATATCTTTATTCACTAAAACAAAAGAAACTGGAAAAAATAAAATATACGAAGAACCTTTATTGGATATCAAAAATAAAGACTTATGTTCTGAATGCAAATACTCTTATGATGAAAAAGAACTAATTGATAATATTTGTAATGAGTGTTACAAAGAAAGTACACTTCCGTATGCTATCTGTCAAAATGAAATACTTAGAATAAACCTCAAAAGAAACATTTGCGAAAAATGCTTTGAACCAGAAATAATGATTGATACAATAATCAATATTACACCAAAATGTAATCATTGCAAAAATGAAACACCTGCGAACCTATTACAAAATGGAAAATGTAATACGTGCAGAAGAATACAAGAAAAAGATGAAATTCAAGAAATTTCGCAAGAAGAATTTAAACCAAAAGAAGCAAAACAAAAAAGAAGAAGAATTTAACTTTGACAAAATTGAAAGAACTGAAATTGAACAAATTAAAGAAAATATTACTAATTTACAAAAACTAGCAAATGAACAAGCTGAACACATTCAAATTTTGAAGCAAGCAATTGAAATCCACCAATTAATGTTTAACGAACTTCACCAAGAAAATATTAATCTAAAACGAAAGTTTGAAAAACTTGAAGAAATAGACTACCTTTCTAAACTCTGAAACATTACATTAATTGACCAGCAAATATAATTGTTCAAAGTATGAATATGGGACTCTCAACGAAGACTATCCTGATGAAAGATTTGACCCAATCCTAAAAGACTATATCCGTCAAACTAAACAAAATATTTACGAACAAAGAAAAAGGTACAAACCAAGCGATAATGAAGAATTAGATTAATCACCCCAAAAATAAAGGCACCCTCAAAAATGAGAAGCCGCCAAAACAAACTAGAAAAAGCTTTAACTTTCTACAACATTCTATTTAACAATAGCATACTATAATTATTGTATAAATATTAGTCATAACTTATTCGCAATCATGTATTGTTCATAATTTACCAATAACAAAGTATAAATAATCAAAGTAACACACTATTAAAGTAAAAGTTATAAAAGCATTGACTTCAGACCCAATTCTGAATCATGCCTCAACATAAACGCATACCTAAAATATGAGAAAGATATACAGTTTGCAAATACTGCAAATCTAAAGACTTACCTTGTGATAATAAAATACCTTGCACATTTTGTAAACTTGTTAATAAAACCTGTACAAGAAACTACTGTATATCAGATAAAACTAAAGCACTCCGAAAAGTATTTGATGCAAAAGTAAACTTACTGAACACAATCGAAGAAGCAAAAACAATCTTCAACGCTTTAAAAATACAACATATCTTTGATAAACAATACAAAGTACTTGACAAAACACAAGATACTTCAGAAGAAGAAAGTGAATGTCACCTAGACAACCACGATACAGAAGATACATAGCAGACCCATACACCACACGAGCTTGCATAAACTGCCAGATATTGCACATCAAGTGTATAAAACTTAGTACAATTGACAACTGTGAAGACTGCATGTCGCAATCTAAATCATATACATTTAAAAGACCTAAGAAAAGAGGACCTAGACCAGGATACAAACTAGATCCTGAATACATAGAAAATAATCAAAAGAAAATTGAAAAGATAATCCAAGAAGCACAAGAAAAAGAAAAGACTAAAACAAATAATTATTTATTTGAAGAACACCTTAGCGAAATACAACAAGCAGTCGAAACTAAGCAATATTATCTATTTGAAGAATATCTTTATTCACTAAAACAAAAGAAACAAGCTTTATGAAATGACCCAATATAACCTACGACTACACCAAAATACCTACCCAATTAAAGTTTATTCAACAAATAATTATTGAAACAATTACAGTACACATAGAACAAAATGATCTTGAAGAAATAATTGAAGAAAAAGATATCAGTCAAATTATCTTCTTAACCAGAGAAGGAATATCACTTTACTGTCTATATGAAATAAAAAATCACCCTACTATTAATACAACCCCTGAACAAAAAACTTTAGAACATTTGTAAATTTTATTATAAAGTTCAGATTAGCAATATATAACTCTTTGAGAACTGAACTTTTAAAAATTTTTACATATAAAAATCCTTAAGTACATTTTTTTGCGGAATAAACAGAATAGACTGTATTTCAAAAATTTTTTTGGAATATTTTTATAAAATTCGAATCCTTGTGAAAGTATACTATGTTATATATAGTACATATAAGATTAGATCTTATTTATCTCTAATATTAGATATTGTTTTGTCTTTCGTATTTTTTTTATTTTTTTTTATTAACTTTATTTTATTTATATTTATTTTATTTATTTATTTATTTATTTTATAGACTACTCTAAACAGAACAAAATGGCAGATAGTATAGATAATAACGAAAATCAAGTACTCTAAGGCCTAGATTAAATACTGTAGGTCGTGGCTCTGACACGTATCGCAATGATCTTTTTATAATAACAATGCATCAACTGCTGCATTAAAAAAACAACTATAAAATCACACCTACCCACTTCGAATCTTTCTAGTACCTTGCAAGAATACCAACCTAGATTATAAATTCTTATTAAATTTTGGAGACAAAGAGTAAGTATTGTGTTTTATTATTTATTTTACTAATGATTTTTTTTTTGCTTCGCTAAGAAAAGTACTGTATAATGAGACCAGAAGTTTTTTATTTTTTCAGGTTTTTGCTTCACCGGGCTTGAGGTCTTGGAGCCAAAGCTTTACAAAGTACTAATTTTTTTTTTGTGCTTTCTTGTTTTTACTAACGGTTTTCTTTTTTTTCAGGTTTTTGCTTCACCGGGAAAGGTTGATTTGAAACTGGGCTTGAGCTTTTGAAACTAAAATCAGGCTTGATAGTATAATGATAAGTACTTTTTTTTTTTTTGATTTCTTGTTTGTCTTTTGTTTTTACTAATGATTTTCTTTTTTTCAGGTTTCGCTTCACCGGGAAAGATTATTAAAACCAGGCTTAATATTTTGAAACCGGGCTTAAGATCTTGGAATTGGTCTTGAGATTCTGAAACTGGAAACTATACAAAGATAATCATAACCTAAATACAAGAAGTACAAAAACAAAGTATATGACTAATAGTTATAAATAGTGTTCAAAATAAGTTGGCATATTATGGTGTACTGTGGCTTAAATAGCTTATCACGTGATAAATTCGAATTTATCATGTAATAAATTTGAAATCGTTACATTTTGTATGACAAATTCGAATATGTCATGTAATAAATTCAAATTTATCACATAATAAGCCATTTAAGCTGCAGCAAACCATGATAAGCTGGCTTATTTTGAACACTAGTTATAGATGACTTTAACAACAACATTGACAAAAAAATAACAAAACAACTACACTTTTCATACATTAAATAATACATTACAACCTAACTAATATACTCACTTACTTCAATATTATAGTATCAACTTGAAGAAGAGGCAATAGCAAAAGTCAAATAAATGATATCTAGTTATCTACAAACAGCATACATATAATTTTGATCTTATATATCCTATCATTAATAATATTATACAGATCATCTGGAATCATCAATTTAATCTTACAATATCTAGACCAAAAAAGATAAAGAAAAAAACTTTCAATATCACAAAATGGATAAGCAATTATGGAAAGGCTTCTCAGATAAGATAGATGAGAAACTTACACAAATCAATATCAATATACAACTCACAATTTAGGATTTGTTTATGCTCAATAAACAATAGTATAAACTTAATTTGGCACTAAAGTATGCAGCAAATACTGTCATCAATTCTTTTACACTTTCTTAAAAAAAGTAACAAACTTATATCATGTATTAAAAAATATAAACAAGATCTTAAAGATAATTATTATACTTCAACTACCACTATATATTCTCAAAACTAAATTATCTAATTGATATATAAATAAGCTCTCAGATCTAAGCTTATTAGCAATTATATATAGTGATCTAACTCTGAACAATATTATACAACTTATTAACTTTATGAAAATATATAGAAATACCCTGTAGCAAGCAAGGAATTTGAAAACAACAATAAACAAACTAATTGAATTAATCAGCATATAGAAAAAAATACTGCAACTTCACAAACAACACTACAAAAATGATCAACAGTATATTACACAGATATACAGATCCAGTTATTACTCACAACATTAAAAAAGCAGATAGAATCATAAATAATCTAAAGAAAATCAAAGCAGAATATCAAACTTACTTTGAATAATAGACCAAATATAACCCACCAAATACAGCAATATAACACCTCTGAAAAGAAGAATATAAACCTAAAAAACATATCAATAATAACTGGTATAATAATATAACTGAACTGATTACAAAAAAAGTCATAAATACAATTAAAAAAGTTTTCACAAGCGATATACAGACACAACTCTCCCTGATAATCACTTGGACACAAAAACAAGCAGAAGCAAAATTGACAAAAACTCAACAAAAGCTATAGGAAACATTGCAAGTGACTCTGACAAAAAAGAAAAAGCAACAAAATTAACAATTAGTAAGCTTAGGAAAAAGCAAAGAGAAACTTGCAAAAAGCAAGTTAACTAAGAAAAACAAAATTTTGCGAAGAAATTTTTGAAAAAAAGAGGATATTAGTCTGACTTTGAACGCAGATCATTAATAGTTACACATATATGTAAACAAACAAACACATCTAGAATAGGCTAAAAATAAAATAAAGCTGCACGTGCACAACAAAACGACAATAACAAAGTCATATATAAAGAATAAATAGAATTGGCAATAGAATTTTCTAGAAAATTAGGTTAGATTATCAGACAACATAAGCAAAGATAGATTATCAACTGAATTAATAGATATCACAGTATAGCAACAATGATCCTTTACGACTTTATAGAGAGCAGATGTGCAGCAGCATCAAAATACATGATAGATATACAACTAGAAAAACTCACTAAGGAAGTTGTAGTTAGTGCACTAAATAATATAGAATATATAGCAAAAAGCATAATGATAGAAGACATAGACAAGATTACAAATTCAGAATTAATTGTATATAGAAGATTTTGTACAGCATTAAACAAAGCTGAATACAGAAGAATAGAGGAAGGCCAAATAGAAAAGTAGGCAATTAAGGCCAGATGGGTAAGCCAAAACCCAAAGTCAATTGAATATATAGCCGAAATGAGCAAAAAAAAAAATCAAAAAGAGAAGTAACAAGATGGAAGGAATTACAAAAACAGAAGAAAAAGAAAACACGCAAATAAAAGAATTGAAAAAAAAAAGACAAGAAGAAGAACTAAAAAAAAAGATAGAATTGAAAAAAAGAAATGTAGAAGAACCAATATAACAAACTGAAAATGAGAGAAAGGGAGACAAATAAACAGAAATTATAGTAATCTCAGACTCAGATGCAAGCTCATATGACTGACTTCAAGAGAAAAGAATTGAAATGAAAAAAACTAAAAAAGATAAAGAAGTACCAATATAAAGAATTGCGAGAAATGAGATTAAAAGCATTAGAAAAGAAATACAATAATTGGAAAAAGAGACCAACAAGACTTTTTAACAGAGATAGCATGTGATCCAATAAAATGCAACATGTGGTCACCAAATAACAAAACATGTGAAGGTGGTTGCAAAAGCACATGTGTGCAAAGTATCAGAGAATATACCTAAAGAAAGAGTCGCAAACTTAGAAGGTATCTTAAGCAAAGACAAACATATGAAATCAATACAAGAGTATTCAGAAATGGAAATAGTTGGATAGAAGTAGAGTTCGATTGCAAATATAGTAGAACAAATGCAATCAAAAGAATTGAGAAGAAAGAAGGAGACTGGCTTTGGCTCATTTTAGATTTAGACAACAAAGAACAAAAACCTGGCTGAAGAAGCAGAGAGAATAATTATAAAAAAGAGAAAAGCAGATGACAAGAAAAAGAACCACAAGCCTTCAGAAGAAAAGACCTTTACAAAGAAACAAAAAGAAAAGAAAAACAATACAAAGAAAACAGAACAGAATGCATCAGATATATTACTATCTGGGATCTACCAAAATCAACTAGCACAAAAAAAGTTCAGTATATGTGCAAAAAATTTGGTAGACTGGAAGACATCAAGATTAAAAGAACAGAATTCAGAATGGTAGCAGAGGTAGAACTAGAATTTAACATAAAGGATTACAAGCTGCCTTGAGTTCTACCATTAGAAAATAGAAGGTTAGCGCAGGTTTCTAAAAGTAAAGAAAATAGAGAAGAAATGAGTAGCCGCTTTAGGCATATCATAAAACTAGAAGGCATTTTAGAAGGAGCTTCAGAAACATTATTACTAGGCTATATTAAAGAAAGAGGAGCAAAGGCAGTATATATTCCAAGAAAAAGAAACAGCCGAATGAAGCAAGCAGCA